GACATGATCCACTGTGAATTCAACTTGCTGTAAGGATGCGCCGTTACGATTACAGTTAATAGCAGGTAGATAACCATCATTTGATTCTTTAGTAAAAACCTGTGAAAATGCTAAAGAGAGTTTCGGAAGATTCTTTGTCGGAAGAGCATAAAGTCTGGTTGGGTTTTTGATGTAGCGGAATGGAAACTTTAGATGTCATGGAGGAACGTATGTATTTATAGACTTTTTTAATGTTACCACTTTCAATAACATTTGCTTCAAAATTTTGTCTTACGAGATATTTTTAAGTTATTTGAAAATCTGCGGTGGCTTTGGAAATCACTAAAAATCCCGGTGTGTTTAAATTTTCGCCATAGATGTCGTTTGTGATTAATTTGTTTAATTGCTGTTCGATATATCCAGCGTTTAAGGTTGTTTTTATAACTCTTACGGAAAGTAGTATTTGTAGAAATTATATTGTGGACTTTATCGAGAAATGCAGTCCATATTAAAGAGAGGTCGTTTAAGTCTGCAAAAAATAAATGCCAGTCGATTTGAGAGAGTTCAGTGCCAACTTCAGAAAAGTCAGTAGTAGCATATGTTACGATGTTATTTTTGCGGGGTAATATTTTAATATTTGATTGAACTGGATATGAGCCGTTATAACTGCATGATCTGACTTTCCTATAGGAGAACTGACTTCGAGAGATGAAATCAGCTGTTCGTCATTAATAAACACTAGATCTAAAGTAGAAGGTTGGTTATTATTCCTAAATCTAGTAGGTTCTGTAATGAGTTGTATCAGGTTTCAATTTACTAGGTTTCGGCGTCAGATAATGAAGTTGTTGGCCAGGTGATTTCTGGGAAATTAAAATCTCCAGTAATGATAAGATTATCAAGAGATGATAGTTCTCTTTTGTAAAGAAAACATTATCGTGTGTAAGTACTGTATTAGGTGGACGATATATACATACCAAATTAGGGCAAAAAGAATTTTTAGTAACAGATAAGTAAATTGCATCTATTCCAGTAATATCTATTACCTTAATGGTAATTTTAAAAGTTGTGGTAATAATATTGGATAAGTAAATGCTTACACCGCCACCCACACGATTTTCTCTGTCTTTACGATATATTATATATCCATTTATATTAACAGAGGAGTCAGGAATTGTGGGTTTAAGCCAGGATTCGGCAATACAAATAATGTCCGGTTTAAGAAGTTGCACTGTGCATACCAATTCGTCAAACTTAGCGGAAAGTGAATCTAAATTAGCGTAGTTCTGGGAGTGCCATTGATGTATTTAATAGTTAAATCATGTTCATCGTTATTTTTGCGCGAATTTCTAGCTCACTTCGGAGTTCTTTTAAACGTACTTGTTGGATCGTCGTCAATTATTGAGAATTTTTCCGTGGCTTTGTTTTCCAGAAGTTTGGCTTTATTTCTCAGATTATCTTTAACGTGGTATTCCGAACCCATTACTACCTTTATCATTCGGGGAAATCGTTGGTTTGCTTTGCCGACTCTGTATAAGGTGATTTGCTTTTCCTGGAAGCCAACAGTATCCAAAACAAGCTTAACCTTATTCGCGTCGTCATCTTTTCTGCGTTGTACATCCCCAGAGGAAGATTCTGTTACGCCTCTAATTAGAATATTTTTAGCGCGTGTTATACGATCTACAGCTTCGTTAGCGATGTTATCCGTGAATTCGGTAGACTTAAATAAATCAATCTGGCTGAGCTTATCGTTTAACTTAGTTATTTTATTATCAAAATTATCAATTTTCGCACGAATTTCCATTTTAAAGTTAGAAAAAGATCTTTTATTTCTGAAATATTAGAAATATTGGAGCTGCAAGAGTTACAAAGTATGCTCAGTCCTCGAATTTTCTGTCGGGTGACGCGATCCTCCGAAAAAAGGTCGGTGCATGTGATATGTATTTGTCGCTTACATCCATCGCACTGGAGTTTGCAGTCAGCTTTCGCTATGGTTTTCGAGCAGTTCGAACAAAAAGAGGTAGACGGCATTGTCCGGTTTTTTGTATATGTAATTAGTATTTGGTTTTATATTAATATATTTTGGAATGGTACTCACAGTAATTATTCACTGTAACTGCACTTTTTACACAAAATTTTTACAAAAATTACTGACTATTGATATATAGAACAATCATGCAAAATTTCTTTGCGAAATAATTATTTTCTATAGAGTAATCATGAAAATCAATACGAGCACAAAATTTTACGTGTGTCGTCGACCAACTAGCAGGTTGTACTCTATACCTATCTATATCTATCTATACCTCTATATCTATCTACATCTGTAGTTAGATCTATCTACATCTAACTACAGATGAATTTAGAGTAAGCGAAACATTACTTATCGTTGTTACAACCGATGCTTTTAGTTCATGTCATACCACTGTGGTAGCTGGCATTGTCCATCACAATGACACTGTTTGGTGCTATATTTGGCAATAACTTCGTTGAAAACCAGTTTTCAAATAATTCTGACGTGGTGTCATCATGATAGTCGACACGGGAGTCCTTAATGTTTTTGCATGACAAGGCTAAAGTATTAGGTACAAAACCATTTTTTTCCTGCATGGATTACTGTAATACGTTTTCCTTTATTTGATGAAGCTTTTGTTGTACAGCAACAAGAAGAATCTGCTTAACCACATTTTGGAACGTTATGAGTCTTAAGCGGCAGTTTTAACACAAAGACTAATGAATGGTTAATAACAAAACAACCGATAGTAAGTAGAAGAAAAAGAAAAGACGCTGGTTTGTTTAGGAAACTCGACCGGAGTGATGTGGAGACCATTAGAAGAAACATTTATAACATGTATAAAGAACAGATGTCGGTCAGATAGCTCAGCGGGCTGTGCGGCTGCCTCTCATTCGCTTCACTGTCGAATGGTTTAGTGGATGTGGGTCGAGCCCCAGCTCGGTGTACAGAAAACAAAAAGTCTAACGCAGCAGTTTAAAATTCTAGATGAATCTGCGGCTTAGACTAGGATATGCTGAGATCTGATCGGCCTATGGTGGAGCAGTACGGCAAGAGATAAGGGCTTGCGGTTCGGTGATACTCCTCCATAGATCCCTACCGGACGGGCGTAACGCCTAAAAAACCGGATATATATATATATATATATATATATATATATATATATATCTATATATATATATATTATATTATATATATAAAGAACAGATGGTCCTTACGTTAAAAACCATCATGCAAAAGTTACAGAAAGATGACACATGAATCAAGTACTGCAGTGAGACAGTAAGGCAATGTCTTCTAAAAAACGGCTTTACAATAAAAACGATCGATAAACGCAAGTGATTAAGGAATCTGCTCGTCTACAAATATGAAGGACGTAATTTTTAATTTAAATTTAGAAATACAGAGAAAGTGGAAGACAAAATTGTTTATCTGGATGAGACGTTTTTTGACACCCAAGACGTTCTAAAATATAGTTGGGCAAATTCTTCTGGTCGCTGTACAATAAAAGCTCCATCAAATAAAGGAAAACGTATTCCAATAATCCATGCAGGAACAAAAAATGGTTTTTATACCTAAAGCTTTAGCCTTGTCATGCAAAAACATTAAGGACTCCCATGTCGACTATCATGATGACACCACGTCAGAATTATTTGAAAACTGGTTTTCAACGAAGTTATTGCCAAATATACCAACAAACCGTATACTTGTGATGACAATGCCACTTACCACAGTTGTGGGCTGAATAAAGTTCCATGTTCTAATGATACCAAACTTAGAATCCAGGAGTACATGCTGGAAAATGATATATATATATATATATATATATATATTAGTATATTATATATATTATATATATATATAAAGATAATTATTCTAAACAATTACTTGAACCTTTACAATCATTTTCCATCAGAAAACAATATTATTGCAGCAGGTTGGCGGAAGAAATCGGTCATACAGTATTAAGACTTCCTCCTTACTATTGCATGTTCAATCCGATTTAATACATATTTATGGCATGAGCTAAAAGCATCGGTAATTTTTCGCTCACCCTAAGTTCATCTGTGGTTTGTCTAATTGAATTAGAAATAAAGAAAATAGCCAATGACAGCTGAAAAAATATTGTTCCCATATTCTAAATATGGAAAGATCTTATATAAATAAACATAAGTTACTCAAAGAAACAATTATTATAGATTTACATAACGACAGTGATAGCGAAACTGACTTGTCCATGTATTTTTTTTAATGTAAGTAGGTACGTAGTCCTACTTTTTGAATTGTACTTATAAATGGTAAACTTTCTATGTATACGTAATTTATGTAAATATTTTGAAATTCAGTTGATAACGGTATAAAACCAGCTTTAGACTCAATTTTGAAAATAATTTTCTAAAATATTTTTGCCTCTGTTCTTTTTGTACTCTATTTAGAAATGATAAAGTTTTGTAAATACGAGAATGTAATGTATATAAACATTTTTGCAATTATTATAACTTTAGTAGATAATGATAAAGACCGGCTTTTAAACACACCTAACAATCGAATAAGTAATGCAAATCGAAAATAAAAGTAGGATCCTGTCCAGAAGCGATTCCCCTCTGACTAACGGTAGACACTTATAGATAATAAATATTATTGAATCTCTTAGATCTTTGGTAGGACTATATCAATATGATGTATCCGCTATAACATTAATTTTATTTAGCATATAAATCTGTTCCTTTTTAATTCTCCAACTATGTGGACTATTTGAAAAATAATAACTAAAACTGCATTTCAACATGAGAAGATATATTATTTTAAGGATTTCAGTTTGACCACTTTACCTGCTGTTTGCAGATTAACGAAGATTTGCATTTTTAATAAGCTGCCAGTTAAAAACAAGACATACATTGTTTTGTAAGACAAATAATAAATAATTCTAAGCGAGAAACTAATAAACAGCAAATTAAATATGTAAAATACTATAAAATTTAAAATACAAAAAAATGTTTTATTTAAAATTTCAAATTATACCATACTGTTTTTTAATCACATCTGCAAGTTTCTCTCCTATTACCAAACAATTTATACTGGGGTATCCTGATATGGGTCCTGGAAAAACGCTAGCATCTGCAACTCTTAATTTATTTACACCAAACACTTTAAGATTGTTATCCACAACTGCACCTTTGCTCGGGTCTGCACCCATCGGACATGAAGACATAGGATGATATCCTGGCATGGTCAATTCCTTCATAAAGCATTCCCAACATTTTTTGGAATCATACTTACAGTGATTACATGCAGCTAAAGTAGGAGTTGCAAATTTTAAATTAAATTTCTTAAATGTAGGGGTATCTATCATTTTAAATAGAAATTTTATCGCCCTGTATACTTGCGTTCTATCTCTTTGATCTGTAAGTAAATTGGGATTTATAAGAGGGTATTCAAATGGATCATTGCTCTTTAATCTTATAGTACCATCGGATTTTGTAGTCATATGTAATATCATAAATCGGATTGGATTACCAAGCTTAAGATTACTGAGAGTCTGATAATAGTCGTCTTTCCACTTTAATATTTTTTGTTCAAATATACTGGTTTGATGGGTATCAATAAACATTGCTACATTAGGTAAATGACCATCTCTTTTTTCTAAATTATAAAAACCAACACTTTGCGATAATGTACTAGCCGACGTTAAACTTCCAGTATTATTCAGAAAATCTCTCAACTGATCCTCTATTGATTCTACAGGTGTTGATAAATTCGAAGAGAAATATAGATTAAACGTTAAAGCATGCTCTTTGAATCGACTACCTACTTCCAAGTTTTGAATTACATCTATATCAACATCTTCTAAATGTCTTTTTGGTCCTACCCCCGATAACATAAGAATTTGGGGACTCGTAATTGCTCCTCCAGAAATAATAATTTCTTTGTTTGCTCTTACGTTATACGTTTTACCTCCTTTGGTAAATATAACACTCTCAGCTATTTTAGTTTCTTTGTTAATGACCACTTTCGTAACATAACTTCCTGTTAGAACTTTAAAATTTCTTCTTTCTAAAAATGGTGTGACGAATATGCTACCCATATCCTCTCTCCTCCCTTTATTAGTATATAGTTGTATTACTGATGCTCCTATTTGCGACGGGCTGTTGTAGTCTGTTATATTAATTCCTAAATCTCTATTTGCATCTAAAAATAAATTAGTAAGGGGATGATGAACTACCGCATGTTCCACTGTAAGAGGGCCATTTGTTCCATGATAACTTAAATCTACAGGTGCTTCCGGATTGGTCCATTGAAAATTTTCAGATTTTTTAAAATAATCCAACATATTTTCATAAGACCATGAAGGATCATTAAGCATTTTTGACCATTGGTTAAAGTTCTCTGGGTTTGCTCGTGTATATTGTAAGGAATTTATCAAGGTAGTGCCCCCTACTCCCCTTCCTCTAGGTAGTGTACATTTTTGGTCTTTCATGCCTAAAAACATAATATTATTAAATATTGTATTTATTATTATTAGATTATTATTTATATTTGGGTGTTTATTGTCAAAATTTTACTGTGTTTTTATGAAAATTATGTTTAGACAAATTAAAGAGTTTGTTTGAATTCTATGTGATATAATGTTATGGATTATAAATATACTAAATTAAATATGTAATCAGAAATTATTGAAACATTAGATAAAGAGAAATAGGAGTGAAAATATAAACTTTTACAACAATTTTAATCGAAATTAAATAGGTTTTCTCATATCATTTATAGAGGTTTTTTAAGGATATGATAACTTCGTTAGCTCTACTGTTTTAACTATCGTAGTTAACGACCAAATGTTTTAGTTTTCTAGGAATTGGGAGTAAAATTCGTCATCATTGTGGGAACGCGTGAGTTTATCTGTATCTGCTATGGTTTTGACTGTACTAATCGTCGGACAAAAATTTAAATTTAAATTTTTATTTTGATCTAGTTAGACCAAAAATGACTAATAAGACTCACCCACTACAATGTATGTATGAATTAAAAAGCGAATGTAGGTATATTGATTATCATATATAATCTAAAATATTAGTACATTAGTACAATAAACGCTATAATAACTTAAAATAATTTAAAAACCCAAAAGCATAAAGTTCAAAATGATTTCAGACTAATCAGTCCATCTTCAGTGATCCTAAAAGTAAGTAATCTCACTAAATTAATAAACCTTAAGGTTAAATGTTCACTGCTATATGCAAACTAACAAATTACTGATTTTGTAGTACTTACAAAATAACCTCAAAACCAAGCAGAGTTTGGGTTTACATGGATTAAACCATACTTTAAAATATTAAATTATATGACAGTATGCCGATGAAATTAGATTACCAACAGGAAAAATAAGTCCCTACTCGAAAAAGTTTTCTACATCGAACTCTAGAAATGTTTAATGCCAATTAATCTAAGATGTAGGAAGTGATAATTGACTGTTTACAGTGACAATGACATTCGAAACAAGATTGACTGTACATTTTTTTTTAATGAACCAGGTAAAGGACCCTTAAGTAATTATTATTTTTATTATTATTTATACCTATTTGTTTACATTTCATGAATTGGCAATAAAATTAAATTTATCAGTAAAATTGGAAGCCAATTTTAGAAAAAGACAAATTAAAATGTAATAATAAGAGAAAGTAAGTGAATTAATAATTTGTGGAGCGCGTAATAACACATAGTCAGATACAATTATTTACTATTTTAAAATGGTACAAAAAAGTATTACAATATTATACAATTTCTCGTTTGGAAATACAATTAAAGGCATTTACAACAAGATACTTTTCGAGTAAAAATTATTGCCTTCTATCAGTAAAAATGTATTTAGACATAAAAAATGTTCTTTCAACGTTTACTGGCGTAATTGGACAATATTGAAGTTTTTGCAGTATTTTTAAAAATTGAATCCCTTTATTTTTTGGTAAAGCCACTACCTCTTTGCGCCTTATTTGCTCTCCAACTTTACCTGGAACGTTGCCACACATAGCCATAAAAGTTTCAATGGTACTAATGGACTCTCTTTAATTTAATTGTCCACTCTCTAACGATGTAAACATGTCTGGTATAAAGCCAAAATTAATTTTAATAAAAAGTAAATATCTAGCTACACTTGTACTTTGTCCTTACTTTGAATGTTATATTCCGCACTAAAATGTTCAGCGTAGAATATAGCTGCGTTAATCCACGTTCTCCATCTGGTAGTTACAGGTTTTGGTGGTTAACTAACTCCAGGCACTCTCTCCCTATACATCTGCTCTCTTAGAGGGGCTTTGATAAATACTTATTTAAGATTTGAAATAAGCTTATTTACTAACGGAAATTCTGTTCTGATGGTTTCTGCTACTCGATTTATCCTGTGCAGAAGACATGTAACATGCACCAAATTGAGGTAAAATACTTTAAAGTTCTGTCCTACTTTTACCATATAGGGTGCGGCATCAGATCAACAACGTTTCTTCTGGCACTGGGTTTGCAAGAAAGAAGCTTGATAGATTCTGCTGTATGAATCTGGATATCGTCACATTATTAGTTTTGTCCAACTGTTTCGAAGATATTAAGTATACCTTTGTAGAATTATTTTGTTGAATTGTTTCAATCATCAGATGTGCGATATATCTGCCACAAGAAAATACTAACCTGAGTCTACTTATGCTATAAAAAAAAATACCTAATATTTAACTTGCACACCAACAACCGTATTATAAGATCATAAAAACTTCCTTAAAATGGTTATGTGGGATTGTCCATTTTCTAACAATAGTAGAATTCACAAATCCATATCTCATTCATTATTATATGTCATTTAGATAACAGTAATAAAAATAAATAGTCTCTTGTAAATACTCTATTGTTTTATAATGACCACAGTGAGATCGGGTTAAAAAATTACCTGAATACGACCATTCAACATAACAATTCCTTAAATTCTTCGACCTTATTAGACGGGACTGGGTATAATTTTTGGGTGTAAAGATGACCATAATATGCAGGTAAATTAAAATGTTTTCACAATATGCATTTTTTCAAAAACTGCCAAAATATGCAAATGAATGAATAATTAGATGTGAAAGAAAATAAATTTATCTTATAGACCACTGAGAAGAATTATAATGTTATGTATTATAATTATAACTAAATGTGTGTGAATAAAGTGATGTTGATGATGAGTAAAGTAACAAGAATTGTATTGAAAATTTGATGGTTAACTACAGGGTTTGGTGTATACAGATTGAACGAAATAAATTCGGAACATAGGAATATAATGTATTTCGGCTCAATTCTGCTGTAAGTGGTTGGCCAACAAAAGATTGTCAAATAATTATATTATAAAAATCCCATACTTCAGTGGGCTGCTGGATTCTGAACTCATAAAAATTGAAAGCTACACATAAATCTACGATTTTATTATGCTGTCAAACCAGTTATAGTCCAGGAAATGAAGCATTTCACCTCGCAATTTTTTCGTGCTGCGTGAATTGACTTGAAATTTAACAGAAGGTAGGTAATAGCCTAAGGATCAAAATCTATATCGAACCAAAGTGCGCCAAAACCTAGGGGTGGTTGCCACCCCATCTCCGGGGTGAATTTTTTTTTACGTTTTAACTACAGGTTTCGATTAAAAAAGTGATTCTAAACAAAAAATGTGCTATACATTTTTTTATAAAATGATATTTTTCAAGTTATTCGCGATTGAAAGTAACAACTTTTAGACGAAAAAATCCACGTTTTTAATCGATTTTTCGCGAATAACTCGAAAATGGTGCATTTTATCAAATAATTGTAGAGAACAAATTTGTAGCTTTTTAAAAGACAAATACAATTCATTTTTTTAAATGTTTTTGCGATATAATAGGAACCGAAATACGGACTATCGGTTTTCGTCATATAGCGGTTTTCTTCAAATGACAAATTTGAAATATTCAAAGTCAAATATCGGGAAAAAGATGCATTTTTGGAAGAAAACTCACAAAACCTTTTTTAAAGAGCATAAATAGACCTATCATAAAAAAAAGACTCTAGCTCAAAAATTGAGTGAGTTATGATGAAAATAAGGTCAATACATCATTTTTTACGAAAAAATCGATGAAAACAACCCCCTAACCACGCCCCATAATTAAAATCGATCTTCACCCTTCTGGAATTCCCTTTATACATGTATTGTTAATACATTCATGTTGTATTCATGTTAATGTTCAAAAGTTGAAAAGTTGCAAAATTTTGGCAAAAATTGTTTTCACCTATAGCACTCATAACAATTGATTTTTAAGGGTTGAAAATGTATGAATTTGTATTTTAAAGTATAAAAAAATCACTATTAACTAATCCAACCAAATTTCACTCATCTTAGATTTGTAATATTATTTTACAATTTTTGAAAATTAGGGGTAGTTTTCACCCCTAAGAACAATCAGGGTTCATCGGCATGACATAAACTATAAAGCAGAGGGTGAGTTGAGCTTAATTTCAAATTTTTATGCAAATCGTTCCAAGGTGAAATCATTTTCTTCGCATTACTAATTTTTTTATATTAATCTCTAATAAGGGTCGCTTTTTAAGGGTTGAAATATGATGGAACTTTATTCCAAAGCACGAAACTATCATTATTTAATTAATTCAAACCAAATTTTACCCATATTCAGGTTTAATATGTTATTTTATAATTTTTGACAATTAGGGTAGTTTTCACCCCTAAAACAATCAGGTTCGTCGACATGACATAAACTATAAAGCAGCGGGTGAATTGAGCTTAAATCCAATTTTTTATCCAAATCGATCCAAAGCGAAATAATTTTTTTAGAATTAGTAATGTTTTTACATTAATCTCTAACAAGGGTTGCTTTTTAAGGGTTGAAATATGATGGAACTCTATTCAAAAGTATAAAATAATCATTATTTAACTAATTCAAACCAAATCTTACCATATTCAGGTTTAATATGTTATTTTATATTTTTTCACAATTAGGGGTAGTTTTCACCCCTAAAACCCTTCAGCGCACTTCGGTTCAATATAGATTTTGATCCTTGGGCTATCACCTACCTTCTGTTAAAATTTCAACTGGATACATGAAGAACGAAAAAATTGCGAGGTTTTAACTTTTTTCGAGCTTCATTTCCTGAACTATTATCGCTTCCTTAGACAAACCCGTCTTACGCAAACAACATTGTTGTGAGACAGATAGTTGAACGATATTTTATACAATGTCTATACCCAGTATGGATTTATTTTTGTCCAAGTTTTATATTGGTCCACTATTTCAAATGCAGTTCAAACAGACATGTATTAAATTGTATGTTCCGTTTTAATTTGGTTCAATCTGTATGTCTAAGGGGAATTTGAATTGTAATTATTGCAAAATAAAGATTATTTGAATTTGATATTTATTTTGATTATTTTTTTTACATTTACAATAAAAATCCTCCTTAGACATATACAATCAACCCTACAGTTGATCATCAACTTTCCAACACAATTCTTTTTACTTTATTCATCATCAAGTTATAATTATGTTGACATCTGTTGTTTTTGTTCTACGACGTATTTCTTCGTTTAGGATTGGATCTCTCAGAGAGACACCCAACATCTGGCACACCATAGCACCCTGAGTTATGCGAATCTTCTTCACTACCTTTTTTGTGAGTGTTAATGTTTTCGCTCCATAAGTGAGTACAGGTAACACACATTGGTCAAAGATTTTCTTTTTGAGGCATATGGGTAGATTCGACTAAAATACATAGTTTAATTTACCAAACGCTACCCAGGCTAATCCTATGCGACATGGGAGCTCACATGTCTGGTTATCTCTGTTCAATCTAATTTCATGCCCTAAGTACTTATACGACGTGTTAGCATTATTTAGCAAATTAGTCATTATTTGCGTCGTGTTCCTATTAATCTCTAGTCCGACCTCCAAGGAAGTGTGATAGAATTCACGCATCACACATCATTCATACGATCGTCTATAAAGACGATGTCATCTGCAAATCTCAAATGACTGAGCTTCTCTCCATTTATGTTGATACCATGCTTGTTTAGATGTGCCTTTTTACAAGTATGTTCTAAAAGCGTCGTAAATAGCTTAGGAGTGACAGTGTCTCCTTGCCGTACTCCTCGCTGTATACAGAATTTATTTGTTTCTTGTTCAGATAGTCTTACGCTAGCTGTGGCATTTTGGTAGATATATTAGATTATGTTAGTGTCTTTTTCTTCTTCAAGTTCCACTCCTATCGGAGATTGGATATCATTCTGGCAATTATAATTTTATTGGTTACTCGCCTGAATAGTTTCAATTGAACTGCATCCAAACCACTCACGGAGATTGCGTAGCCACGAGATTTTACGTCTTCCTACGCTTCTTCTACCTTTGATTTTACCCTGCATTATATTCCTTAGTAGTTCGTACTTTTCTACCTCTCATGATGTGCCCCAAGTATTCCAATTTCCTGATCTTTATGGAATTTAAAAACTTCGCATTGTTTTCCTAGTTGTTCGAGAACTTGTTCGTTTGTTTTGCGATCCATCCATGATATTTTCAAAATGCGTCGGTAACACCACATTTCGAATGCTTCTAGGTTTCTAATGTTGGATTTTTTAAGTGTCCAAGCTTCAACTCCATACAAAAGGGTAGAGAAAATATAACATCGAACCATTCTTATCCGGAGCGATATATTGATATCGCGATTACAAAAAAGTTTTCTCATTCTATTAAAAGTTGACCCGCGCAATTTCAATGCGGCATCTTATTTCTTTTGTCTGATCAGTATCTTCTGTGATCCATGCTCCAAGGTATTTGTACGAAGATATTTGTTCAATTTCTGTATTATCTAGTACTAGCTTAACTTTGATGTTTTGTGCTTTTGTAAATACCATGAACTTGGTTTTCTTCAAATTGATTTTTTAGTCCATAATCGTTGCAATATATATTTAGTTGTTCAGCAAGGTGTTGCAGTTCTTCTAGTGTTCCTGCCAGAAGGACGGTGTTGTCAGCATATCTTATGTTATTAAGTGGCTCACCGTTTATTATAAGGCCCTCACTGATCTCGGCAAGCGCTAATTCTGAGATGGCTTCACTGTATAAACTGAATAACAAGGGTGATAAAATACACCCTTGGCGGACCCCACGGCGAATCTGGATATCCTTGGTCAGTTCGTTTTCAACTTTTACTTTTGCTGTTTGATTCCAATAGAGGTTACAGATGATTCTAATGTCTCTACTGTCTATGTTTTTATTTAATAAAATTTCTTTAAGTCGATTATGCTGCACTCTGTCAAATGCCTTCTCAAAATCAATGAAAACAGGCATATACTTCCTGATTAATATCTAAGCATCTCTGCGAAAGAACACTTACTGCAAACAGTGCATCTCGTGTTCCCAGTAACTTTCCTAAATCCCATTTGTGTATTACTTATGCCTTCATCTAATTTCTTATGTATTCTATTGTGAATTACTTTTAAAAACAATTTCAAGACATGACTCATTAAGGCTATGGTGCGATGTTCATTGCACTCCTTTGCATTGGCTTTTTTGGGAAGCAGTATGAATGTTGATTGGAGCCATTCTTTAGGTATTATACCTGTTCTATATATGGTATTGAATAGATCCAAAAGAAGACCAATAGATTCAGTATTCACAATTTAAGTAATTCGACAGGAACTTCATCAGGCCCGGGAGATTTACCACCTTTAGCGTTTCATTGCATATTTAATTTCTTCTCGTATAATGTTAGGAGGGTGGCAACACGGTAACCAAAACGTAAACAAATATTTTATTTGTCGTCTACAATAAACTCAATTTCTGAGAGTTGTAACGGGAAATAAATTGATTGAAAATATCTAGTGAATAATATAAGGCATCCAGTGAATAATATAAAGACATTAAGTGAAGGAGAGTGCTAAGAAAAAACTTTAAAATCGGTGAAATAACATCCGAAAACGCCAAGGCCCTATAAAAAGTAAGATTGCTGTAATGATAAGCCTAATTAACATCAAGGCATAGAAACGAAACTCTGACCTTTGAAATTGCGACGTTGCCGTTGTGAGTAGACTTTCGGGGTAGACACAGAAAAATAACAACGGTTAATAAACATAAAATAAATACGGTAAACGCTGCTGTCTTCTCTGAACTGTTGAGGTGGAAGACAGTGTTTGGCGCCGGAAAATGGAAAAATATATAAAAAATTTAGACAGTGATGATACACTTTCAGAAGGGGGGCAAAAAGGAAGGACAGATATAAAGACAGCGAGGAAGAAGATAACATATTCAGAAAGAGCAAGAAGTTCTCGAGAACACCAACAAAAACTCCAGAGAAAAAAATGAGGCAACAAAAATTGATCAATTACTAATAATGATGAGCCACCTTACCGATGATATTAAGGAAATAAAATGAAATCAGAAAGAATGCAAGGAAACGATAGAAAAGCTCATAATGGAAAACAGAGAGCTGAGAAAAGAAAATTTGGAACTAAAACAAGAAAATATAGAGATCAAGGAGGAACTCAGAGAAATAACAAAAAAGGAACAATCCTGAGTGATTTATAATTTAAGTCGCTTATGGCGACTGGCGTAAACAGATAAAAGAAAATGGTGTCAAGTGTTGTTGTATAATAATGAAATAAATATATATTTTCTTCACGTACCAAGGCAGATGTGTGTTTGTGGTGTAGTTACATATCCCCAATTGTAATCTGAAAGTAGCTTAAGACCAAACAACCCAGGGATTGGCATAATTTCATTGTCTCCATAATCACCAGCTTCAAGAAGTAAAATCTTCCAATCACTTATTTCAGATAATCTGTTTGCCAGTAAACATCCAGTGACACCAGCTCCAACGATCACAAAATCATACGGTTCATATTCTGAAAACGATTACAATTACAAAAAAAATTAATAATTTTTTCATTTCGTTTTTTAAAAAAAAAGAGAAACATTTATTAGACCAAATTATTTTTAATTCTAATATTTATTTAAATTCGTTTGGCAGCAGTTTCAATAATCAACCTAATTTTATCTAGTGAGTTGCTACCTTTCTTGCAATTATTTGTTCCACTCTATCAGATAATTTTTATTGTAGCTCTTGAAAATAATTGTAACCGTAATTGAAAGTTTGAGCCATTTAAGAGTAGTGTTCTAACAGCGCATTTTATTGTCCCAAAGTTAGTTTTGTTTGTTTCAAACGAGTCAACAAGTACTTCTTTTTATATATATACATATATATATATATATATTATATAATATATATATATAATATATATATATATATATATATCTGTGTCACTTGTGAAAAGTGGGTTAAGTGCAAATTTGTGAATTTTGAGTATAAGAACATCACCAGAAAGCTAATTTTTTCTCTTTCTTTTGCGTCTAATGGGCTAAGTGATATCTCTATTACTACGGTCAATATTCCACTGTGAATCATGGGTTGAAACTTCAAAATACAACTTTTACCTGTAAAAAGCGAGTCAAATGTTCTTATCCCACTTAGCACAAATTGTCCGTCACCTAAATATTTGTGGAATGTGAGTTATGTACATATTTTTGTGCTTAGCACATTTTTCACAAGCGAGTAATCCATTTCAGGTTAATATTCATTTACTTCAAACTCTATTGTCACTAAAACGGATTCTGTATTTTTCCACTAAATTCGATACGATGATGACGGCGACTGTAGGTCCGTTCTCAGAATGTTGGCGGTTCATTAGTTTCTTATCGGCACCGATACGGTGAACATAATATAACATTGAAATTATTGGCACGCGCACAAAAATTTGCAAAGAATGTTTTTTAAAAACGTTTGGAGAAACTAGGCGGTTCATTGCTACAGCAATTAAAAGAAAACAAAAAAATATATCTGGAATTGTTCCACCAGATAATAGAGGTGCTTCATCTGATAATCGCAGCAAAATTTTAAGAGATGACGTTCGAGATTTCCTTAATAAAATACCAGTGTATGAAAGTCATTACTTCCGGCGAGATTGCTCAAAAAAGTTTTTGCTTCCTCACCTAACTATAACAATGCTTCATGAAGAATATAAAAGCACTTCGATACTCGAAGCGAGATCAGCTTCTTTTGAAATTTTTCGGCAAGAGTTTCATGGCATGAATCTTCACTTTAAACAACCTAAAGTCGATACCTGTGCGACTTGTGACAGACTAACCCTTGAAGTAAAGTTGGCTCAAGATGAGCACAAAACGGTGATACAGGAGAAACTGCACTTACATCAATCTGATGCTGACCATGCTTATGACCAAAAACGGAACGACAAAGAAATTTCGCAAAATGATGCATCAAAGAAAACATATAACATTTGACTTGCAACAATGCCTTGCAACTCCATTATTAAAAAATTCAATTTCTTTTTATAAAAGGACACTATGGACCTTTAATTTAACAATTTTCGATTGCAACAAAAACCAAACTTATTGTTATGTGTGGCACGAAGCCATTGCCGGACGTGGAGCAAACGAAATTGGATCATGTTTGTACCACTATTTTACCAATATTCTTGAGCCGACGGTAACATCTGTAACAATGTACTCCGATTCATGCCCTGGCCAAAACAAGAATAGCCATTCGTATGTGCTGGGTATCTTCAAATTAGTACCCTACAAGAGATAAGTCACAAATTTTTTATTTCCGGCCATACTCATATGGAGTGCGATAGGTCTCATGCTCTCATAGAGAAAAAACAAAAAAATTCAATGGACCAATTGAACACCCTCATGACTGGGCGCAATTAATGCGTGACACTGGAAAAAAAATAAATTTCATGTTATAGAGTTAGAAAGAATCCACTTTTATAATTTTTTTATGTTATTAAAATCATCGTTAATTAACAGAAAAAAAGATAACGATAATGACGTGATGCATTGGGGTCAGGTTAGATGGCTAAATTACCGTAAAGATAAATCTGGAATTCTTTTTTATAAATTAACGCTCGGCAATGAAGAGTTTAAAACTGTTTCTTTCCAGAAACAAGGAAGGTTGGAAAACTTTTGCCACATCTTAGATATCAGCAATCACGAATGATACCAAAGGAAAAAAAAGGATCTCTTGGATTTGCTTCCTTACATAGGCCCAACATACAGGGGATTTTATGAGAACCTTAATGCGGCAATGCATCAGACGTATACCCTGATGCCCAAGATGAAGAACTCGAGATTTTATGATCGAAAGCAATATTTTTTTTAACATTTTTTACTATAATATGCATTATTATTATGTATATTATTATTAACACTATGTATTAATTTAGTATTCATTTTATTTGTGTTGTTCTTAATTGCATATCATTTTTCTTTCTTTTGTACTTATACGTTTTTTATATTGCAATAAAAAATTATGTTACATACGATGTATTATTGTTTACCTATGTGTTTTGTTCCAATAAAGACATTTATGAAAAAAGTATAATTTATTGTTTACATAATAATTTTTTTAAGTTCTAACAAGGCAAATATAGCATAAAATTGCCAACATTTTGAGAAAACTGTTAAACACTTAACACATGGTACACTAATGGAATTAGTGTAAAACGCACTAAGTACAGACAATTTAAAACAATTTGTAAAATAGAGGTTATAATTAATAACAAAAAAAAAACGAAAACATTTCAATAATAAAGAAAAATGTAGTGCTAAAATGTTGAGGCTTTAAAACTGGCATTTATCAATATATAGATTCTGGAAAAATTGTGAAACATTCAATTGCGTTTACTCGAAAATGTGATTTTGGCACATAACACACTTTTCACAAGTGACACAGATATATATATATATATATATATATTTATATATATATATATATATATATATATATATATATATATATATATAAAGGATGATTCATTTAGAGGAGATCATGCATGAATACTGTCAAACTGACATTTCGCTTTTGTTCAGTATTGTTTGACATTTCATGATGGAAAAACTTAGCCTGGCACAGCGTCTAGAAATTATTAAGTTGTTTTTTGAAAATGGTACTTCTGTGAAGAATGTGTTTCGTGTGCTTAGAGCAATTTATGGTCTATATAATCGGACTACCGAACGTACAATTCACTTTACGATTAGTAAGTTTAAAAGCCGGTTTTTATTATTGGATAACACGCGACCAAATAGACCACATTCAACACGTAGTGAAGAAAATATAGCAGCGTTAACGGATAGTGTACTCGAAAATAATGAAGAATCGATTCGTCGCAATTCTCAACAACTTGGCTTGTCATATGCATATGCACCAACTTGGCGTATTTTACGTAAGAATCTTGGTTTAGAAGCATACAAAAATCAATTAGTGAAAGAGCTGAAGCCGGCCGACCTTCCAAGTCGTCACCGTTTCAGTCGATGGGCTCTTGATAAGCTTTCAGAAGATCCACTGTTCTCGAGAAAAATTTTGTTTTCAGATGAGGCCCATTTTTGGCTTAATGGGTACGTTAATAAACAAAATGACTGTATTTGGGGTGATAAACAACCCAAAAAGGTTTAAGAGTTGCCATTACACCTTGTAAAAACAACTATTTGGTGTGGTTTATGGGCTGGTGGAATAGTTGGTCTATATTTCTTTAAAACAGAGGCAGACCAGAATGTTTCTGTGAATGGAGACTGTTATCGTGCCATGATAATGGACTATTTGGTACCTGAAATTGAAGCTCGTCGTTTCGGCGACATTTGGTTCCGACAAGATGGCGTCACTTGCTATACAGTGAAAGCATGGCTTTACTGCGCGAACGATTCGGTGAACAAATTATTTCACGCTTTGGACCAGTGAATTGGCCGCCTAGATCCTGTGACATCTCACCTCTAGACTTTTTTTTGGGCTACCCAAAGTCCAAAGTCTACATGAATAAACCAGATACGATTAAGGCATTGGAGGCATATATTACTTGAGTCATTCGTGAAATACTAATCGAAATGCTGTAACGAGTAATCGAGAATTGAAACTTTGGAATGAACCAACTTAATCGTAATAATGGCCAACATTAAAAAAAATTGTCTTTAAGAAGTAATTGTAAAGAATGGTTCTTTTGTATAATAATAAATATTTTCAAATTAAATTTATTTTTTTATTGTTTTTTCTTGATGAAAAAACTACCTCTAAATTAATCATCCTTTATATTTATAATAAAATGCAATTAGAGAAGTAGAGTAGTAAAGACGGTAAGAGACGGTTTCCCAATACAAGACGATCAATAGGAAGACCACGACAACTTACTGGAGGTACATCGAAAAACAGAGCCATGTCTACATAAAAAGAAGAAGAAGAAGAATTAAAGAAGTTGAATCCGCATTAGAATATCAGCAAAGAGAATGATGATAGGAGTTCTAGATAATAAATTCTTATTACTAAGGCTAATTTGCAATCTAAATTTGATTTTAATAATCCAAAATATAAACTGTATTTATAAATTACTTGGGAATATACATATTAAATAGTTATTTTATAAAGTAAATTAAATTCAAAAATTAATTTTACAAAACAATGATGATATTCCACCTACCTTCTATGGCGTTTCCATCTGGTTTATACATATGAGCATCAGTATGATATTCATAAGAAAAAGCGTTAATACCTTCGTTAAAAATTAATCTTTTATAATTAGAGATAATTTTTTCTTTTGATAAACTTTGTTTTCCATAACTATTTACGACAATAACTAACAACCACAATCCCAATTTACAAACACTTCCCATCTTTGATTTTATTAGCTAAATGAATTTAAAGAGAATCACAACTCATGTAATATTATACTACCAAAGTTAATAGGGGAAGGTCGTGCAAAATCAATTTATAAAATACCTGTTTTTTACACAACTTTTGAGTGATTTAATTTACATCCTTAATTAGTTTTTGACCGTTTATTGGGTGTTTATTATATACAATATTATCCGGTCATCAAATTTTAGTATATTACAAGTTTGAAGTTAATATTAATTATAATCCAAATATATAAAAGTTGTTTGACTCTTTAACTGGCGGAATAACCTTACAGTTTATTATTCAACTATAAAAATATCTATTCTATATTAAAAATAGTTTTGTATAATTATTAAACAAGCAATTATATTAAATTTAATTACTTCTACATGGGAAGGAAATATAACAAGCAGTAGTCAAGCATACACGTGTGGGCCTGCTAGTCACCCATTGAAAGCGTTTCCGGTGGGGTGGAAACGGGTTATAGTTATAGGTGACGTCGAAAAATAAATTAATCGGCGTGGATCAAAATTTTCAAAATAGTAGCGGCTGATCCAGTATGGACGGATACAAACAGCGTCTGACCCAAAGTAAACAATTTAATAAACACTCAACGTCAACCCGTCCGGTCTGCGTGATCTTTCAGCCACCTCCCTAAAAAAATATGGTGAAATAAAAAAAACTACCTGAAATAAATCAAACCAAATCCCAAGTGGATAGATGATGGAACAGTGGTGAATCCCACTCTCTAATAAAAGAAACCTACCTTTTCCTGAGTTTCGGGGAAGTAAGAAATCAATATAAGGTTGAATGTTCGAATTGCCTTGTGTACCTTGTGTACCATCAAAGTAAGAAATCGTTAATGACTAAAATTGTAATAAAGTTAAACATTTTTAAAGTACATGCTTCAACAATAACAGGCCAGTTTAAGTTTAAGTTGATGTTTAAGTTGATGTTTAAAAAGTACTGTTAAAAAAACCTGTAAACATTTTGTTTATTTACTAAATATGTTGTAGATTCGACGAGACCCTTCGATCAGCTGGTAGAAATATACCTGAAACGTTCGTTCGAAATTTCCAGAAACCGGTCGAGCGATGATCCAGCCTATTTAATTTCTGGTATAATCGGAAGGATTCCCCAGACCCTTCTAGATAGCGGTGTGGATATAAATACAGGATTTTTATTGTGGCCAGTTAGTACGAAGATAAATTCGCGGTCGCGTATTTAAATGTACGGTCGTAATAAATTTATTGTAAAATAAATTAGTACAAATAAGGACTTTAAGTTTAATTTTTTCCCGAGAGTACACTTTAAATAAATCAATGAGTAGCGCAACACAAAAAGTAGAGATGCCATGCGATCCGGTTAGCAACCGGTCCTGATTCCGGGTCAGACAGTGTGAAATGGGCTACCGGGCACGAGTGTGCGAGCAACCAGGCCACTCGTGGTAAATGGGCGACTGGAAGAAATAACCAAACACAGAAGTTTCAAGGCAGAAAATCGATGAATATAGGGACATGGAACGTCAGAGGTCTTCTCCAGACTGGAAAACTTTACCTAGTAGAGAAAGAGATAAGACAAAATATAGACATATGTGGTCTAGCAGAGACACACTGGAAAGATCAAGGACATTTTAAAACACAAAACCACACTATCTACATATCAGGATCTCAAAATACAGGGCATAATGGAGTAGCCATACTTATAAACGATAGAATATCTAAATATGTCAGACAATATGCAACAATAAACGACAGACTCATAAAAATTACAATAGAAGCAAAACCAGAAAATTTCCATGTCATTCAAATATATATGCCCACAAAAGATGCCCCAGATGAAGACATTGATGAAATATATAACAACATAGAAAACATATTGAAGAAGATACCACAAAAAGAGCCAGTATATATTATTGGAGACTTTAACGCCAAAGTGGGAAAAACGGATAATGAACCACATTTAAGAGGTATTGTTGGGTCATTTGGCTTGGGCATTAGAAACAACAGAGGAGAATGTCTTCTACAGTTTGTCAGCGAAAATAATTTAGTGATAACAAATACCCTTTATAAACACCACCCAAGAAGGCTCTCAACATGGACTAGTCCAAATAAAGAACACAAAAATCAAATCGATTACATACTCGTGCGGAAAAGATGGAAAACCTCAATAACAAATGTAAAAGCTATGCCTGGAGCATATTGTGGATCAGATCATAAACTACTAAAAATGAACTGCAGGCTCAGACTACACACAACTAGAAAAATACATCAGACAAAACAGACAAGGGTAAGTAATGCAAAAGAATTCCAGATGTAACTGATAAGCAAAGAAAAACCACAAGTATTAGAAGACACAAATAAAACGTGGAATGGAATAAAAACTGGATATATTCAGTGGAAAAAGAGGGCACACCACGTAAAACCCAAAAGAACAAACATTGGATGTCAGGGGAAGCACTAGAGTTAGTGGAAAAAGGAAGAGCTATGCTACAACATATCTCAAAAACAGGAAGCAACACTCAAGAAATAGCGGAGATAAACAGGAAAATAAAATGTATGTGCATCAGAGATAAAAACAACCATATAAATAACGTGTGTCAAGAACTGGAGCAACATGCAAACCGCCATGAAAGTCATGAACTATTTAAAAAAGTTAAATATTTAGCCCGAGAGTTCAAGCCACAACTTCAAGCCATTCAAGACTCTAATGGAGAAGTAAAAACCGACATAGAGAGCATCGTAGAGACCTGGAAAAATTACTGCTCAGAATTATACAAAGACACTTCAAAAGATGACGCATCAGTCTCAGAACACAAAAAACATGCAATCAGAGAGGCTGAACCAATCATTTTACGAGCAGAAGTAGAGAAGGCTCTTAACCAACTAAGAAACAAAAAAAACTCCAGGAATCGATGGCATAATAGCGGAGACTCTAAAAGCAATAGGCGAAATTGGCGTAGATGTAATGCTGGATATGTGCAACATGATATGGATCACAGGTGAATGGCCTGATGAGTGGTGTGAATCAACCTTGATCCCTATCCATAAAAAAGGATCACTAACCATATGCAGCAATTACAGAACCGTTGCCCTTATCCCTCATGCAAGCAAAATCCTGCTACATATAATCAATGAACGGCTAAAGAACTTTCTACTTCCAGAGATAGCCGAAGAACAATGTGGATTTGTACCAGGAAAGGGAACGCGTGAGCAAATACTCAACACCAGACAGATAGTAGAAAAAACGAGAGAACATAACATACCAATGTTGCTCTGTTTTGTAGATTACACAAAGGCTTTTGATTCAGTAAAATGGGATCCTTTCTGGAGTATAATGGAAAATATGGGAGTACCTAACCACCTAGTTAACCTAATAAGAAATCTGTATAATAAAAACTCAGCCAAAGTTAAAGTACATGGAATATATTCAAATGCATTCAAAACAGAGAAAGGAACTAGACAAGGTTGCATACTATCACCATTATTGTACAACATATATTCTGAATATATAATAAGAAAAGTACTAGATGAATGGGATGGAGGAATCACTATAGGAGGCAGAAAAATCAGTAACCTGCGATACGCAGATGACACACTTATACTAGCAGCGAATGAAGTCGAAATGATTACCATCATCGAACGGCTAAGCCGAATAAGTGAAGAATTCGGACTTCAAATCAACACCGGAAAAACAAAAATAATGATTGTAGACAGAGTAAATAATAATCTACCGCATATACGCCAAATAGGGATTTTCGAAGTAGTCGACAGATTTGTATACTTGGGCTCTCTGATAACCAACAATGGTGATTGTTTCTCAGAAATCAAACGTAGACTAGGAATGGCCCAAACCGCAACTGCTAAATTAATTAAAATATGGAAAGACCGAACAATACTAACAAGGAATACTAAGCTCAGGTTGGTCAATGCCCTTATTTTTCCCATTGCTACATATGCAGCTGAAACATGGACTCTCAAAAAAATCGATAGGAGTAAGATCGAAGCCTTCGAAATGTGGGTATATAGAAGAATTCTACGCGTGTCCTGGACAGAACATAGAACCAACCTGTCAATTCTGGAAGAGCTTCATATAAAAGACAGGCTACTAAAAAAAGTAAACCAAGCATACCTAACTTACTTCGGCCACATAGCTAGAAGAACGGGCACCATGGAACTATTGGTAGTAGAAGGAAAGGTAAAAGGCCGAAGACCAAGAGGAAGATCTCCAATACGATGGGTAGACCAAATGAAGAGTTTGGTGGGAAAATCCCTACATGAAGCCGTCCATATGGCACAAGATCGCAGTCAATGGAGACAGCAGACTAACAATATTTAGGGTGTCACTACGCCCTGACAAGGGCTAAAGGATTGAGGAGGAGAAGGACTTTAAAATAAATTTGTGTGTGTTATAAATATTGAACCTTAAGTAAATTAAATTAAGAACAATAAATTAGAATTAATAAAAATAGTTCAGTACACATTTATATTTAAATGAAACGAGGTTGAATGCTCGAATGAATGAACTTTGAAAATAAGGCTATTATCGAGCACAAGTTAATTAAATCTAGCCCAAGTACTTTCGCTTAAAATAGCATCTTCAGGGGCATTTCGTCAAAATAAGAACTATCCGGCAAGCGTAGAATGTGGAAACATTAAAAATAACATAAATTATACAAAAACACTACACTAAAACGAGGACAAACAGTTTAAAATTAATTCTACGCTACATTCTCTGTCAGTATCTGGATAGATAATATTGATGATCGTTGCATCAATGACATTATTCATTATCCTTTTTACAGTCAGTCTCGTTTCATTGCAGAGTGGAGGTTGACTAATGTTACGCAGCATAAGGACAACTGATCCAAATTTTAATTATAAATAGTTAGGTGTGTGTCCAGGCAATTCCAATTAATTCAAAAATTTTGTAGGGTAGTTGACTACAACATCCTGATTTATAACTGTTTCAACTTATTTGAACAAAAACAACTTTCCTG